AGTTAGGGATCTATTCAACTCCTTGCACCGTGCCCTTGAGAAATAAATCAGATTCTTTGGTACTTAGTTTTTTCAGTTTTAGCAACTGAACAATGAAAATAATAATACTGATAGTGATGAGACCACCCTTCCTGGGTGGTTCAATATACACCCTATAGTACCAGTTACATGGCATATATTCAAGCACATGTTATTTCTCATTTCTTCTTCCATTTGCAAGTTGCTTTATAATTAGGCAACTTGAGTTTAGAGTGGTCTTTGTGCTTTTTTTCTTTTTTTGTTAAGAACATCTTTGGGACATTGGACTCATTCTTCTTTTTCTTTTTTTGAGACAGTCTCACTCTGTTGCCCAGGCTGGAGTGCAGTGATGCAAACACAGCCAGCTACACATTTTTGCCCTTTCCATATTGCCTTACTCAACAAATGCTGGCTGCAGAGCACACATGAAATAAAAACCCCTAAGCTCCCCCACTTAGTAACCATGGGACTACAAGGTAAAATAACCAACTGTCCAATCAAAATACTTCAGGTGTAGGGCTTGCATGTTGCTGGTGGGAGAACTGAACAATTAAGTGACTTTCCTTCAAATGCATGGTTAAAAGCAAAACAGAAAGTTCAATTTAGGTTCTCTGCTTATTGAATCATACTGTTTTCTTTAAATTCTATGAAAACATTTCAAAAAAACTAAATGTGATACACATCAATTCTTGTATACAGTGACAGAATGAATCACTTTTCTTGTGTATTTTAAAAGCATGAACCCCTTCTTTTTCTAGGAAGGCATGCTGAAGAAGACTGGAAACATATCTGATTTCTCCATAACCTGTATGTGGAGAAAAAATATCTAACTGACAATGATATCTGCCAATGGAAATTACATGTAAAGCACCAGCACAGCAGTTTTCCCACTCATTATCTTCCACTAGTTCTGTGACAATAGATGAGACTGCTACTTAGTGGAACAAAACAGGTAGGCTGGGTTTTTGTCAGTTCGTTTTATGAACTGCATCTATCTTGACTGACTGTGTTGATGCCAAACAAGCTGTCTAATTTTATCTTCAATATCACCCAGAGAACAGGGGCAATTAAAGCATAGAGGGTCCAGGCAGGTAAAATGGCCCACAGAGCACTCTGGCAAATGAGAGGGCATGCATCGTGGTGGAAGTGAATACCTGCTATTTTGTCCCAGCAGGCTGAATGTAAGAGATTGGTCAGAAGGGTGTGAGAAATTATAGAAAATGTGAACCTTCTTGGAAGCCCAGAAGGTTTTGCAAAAGCCCTGGAAGAAGTTATGGCTGATGGCAGCCTAATCCTCTTACCTTGAGCTAATAGCAAAAAGCAAATAACAGGGGGATGTTAAGGACTTTATCTAAATAGCTTATTTACTCATGTGGTCCTCAGATCAACCTTTGATCATCCACACAACTGCCTCCTACTGTGTGTGTGTGGGGGGGTGGGTGTCAGCAATGTTAATTACCCTCTAATGGTGTTTTACTTGAGACCTTTGTCAGTTAATCTGTACTAAATAAATGTGAACATCAGCAGCTTATCATGGCCACTGCTGACTCTGGCAGAGATCCCCTGGCTGCACTGACTGTCAAGCTTGTGTCGATGTGCGTTTTTTTATCTGTCACTAGATACAGTCTACCAGTTGGACTCGACAGTTGAAGTCATACAAGAAAATAAGTCCTTTGTTGCTAGCTTTTCCAATTTTAAAGAAGCAGCTAGAAATACAGGTTTTATATAAAAATTTCCATATTTTACAATATGTATTCCTAGTTCAATCTTTAAAATGCTGTGTTTGCCAAATGAAACAGTTCTCTGCGTCAGATCACAGAAAAGAGTTGCTGGTTTCCTGTTGAAGGTTGTCCATCAGTGACTGCTGGAATAGTTTAAAACTATAGCTAAGTATATAAACTGGACGTATCACCCTGATGGCAATAGTGAGCGATGGTAGCCACAGCTTTAGCAATTAGGTATAAATCATAAATATGGGGCAAAAAAAGGTTTTTAAGTTTACTAACATCACCGAAAGAGGAGATAATTCTTCTACAGATGTTTTAAAAAAATGTAAAGTATAGTTTGGAACATTTTTAATCTTTACTATTGTTAATCACACCTTAGTCTTATTTTAACTGTAGATCATGATAACAATACACTTTCTGTCCTCCATTTACTCCTCTCTTTTACATCTCCAATCTTTTCTTAGTTTGAGGTATTTAAGATCATAAGACTTACAAAGAGATAGAAGAACATAATATATATAATGTGCTTAGAACAATACCTAGCACACAGGAAGAATTCAAAACTTGTAAGCATCTTCTATTACCGTGAACATTATTTCAGTGTCAAAGCCCTCACCAGGCTGGTCTACAATTTTCGGAAAGGTATAACTAACCGTCACAACTTGGCTGTTCACATAACTTCTGCTTACACAATCACTTCTGTTCCTGCCCTCTTTAGGAATCTGTGTCTTAAATTATCCCCCATCAATTTCAGTTCCCCTGAGGCAGCTGAGAATCTTTTTCACATAAGAACAAAGAAAAAGAAAGAGAGGTCTCTGTAGGGCATTTTGTAGCAAGGGAGATAAGGGCCTCCTTCTCTCCTTTTCTTCTAGGAGACAGGGGTACTTTCCCACTTTTTTGTTTCTCTGTGAAATTGACTCATTTTTCTCTCCCAAACGAATCACTCCACTGGATAGGTGGGGCTTGAATTTGTACACCATACTACTTATCTAATAATTTTCTGCTACTTGTAATAAATTAATATATAATCCAGTATACTACCTCAGTTATTTTTAAAAGTGCATTATCATTCATTGAAAAGAAGGATATTTTCATATAACTAATAAGGGGTTAATGTACAAAATGTTTAAGGAATTCAATGGCAAGAAAACAAACAGCCTGATTTAAAAATCAGCAAAAAATATGAAAAGGTATTTCTCAAAAGAAGACATACAGCTTCAGGCATTGTGGCTCACACCTGTAATCCTAGTGCTTTGGGAGGGTGAGGCGGTCAGATCACCTGAAGTCAGGAGTTTGAGACCAGCCTGGCCAACATGGTGAAAACTCGTCTCTACTAAAAATACAAAAATTAGCTTGACGCGGTGGCATATGCCTGTTATCCCAGCTACTCAGGGGACAGAGGCACAAAAATCACTTGAACCCAGGAGGCGGAGGTTGCAGTGCCCTGAGATGGTGCCACTGCACTCTAGACAGAATGAAAGAGTAAGACGCCATCACATAAAAAAAAAAAAAAGACATACAAAAGGGCCAACCAATATATGAAAAAATGCTCCAACATTACTAATCATCAGGGAAATGCAAACTAAAACCATGATGAGATATCATTTCACAAGTGTTAGAATGGCTATTGCCAAAAAAGACAAAAGATTACAAGTATTGGTGAAGATATGGAAAAAGAAGACCCTTGCATACTATTGGTGGAAATGTAAACTAGTTTGTGGAAAATAGTGTAGAGGCTCCTCAAAAAAATAAAAAATAGAACTGCCATATGACCCAGAAATCCCATTACTGGGTATACATTTAAAGGAAATGAAGTCTGTATGTTGAAGAGATATCTACACTCTCATGTTGATTGCAGCGTTGTTATTTACAAAAGCCAAGACATGGAATCAACATGTGTGTCCATCAATGGACAAATTGATAAAGAAAATGTGGTTTATATACAAAATGGAATACTATAGCCTTTACAAAGGAAAAAATAATCCTGTCATTTGCTACAATATGGAAGAACTTGGAGAACATTATGTTACATGAAATAAGCCAAGCACAGAAAGACAGATACAGCATGACCTCATTTATGTGAGAAATCTAAAAAAGTCAAACTCACAGGAACAGGCAGTAGAATGGTGGTTATTAGGTGCTGGGGGGTGGAGAGGGGTGAAGGATGGGGGAGGATTACGGAGATGTTGATGAAAGGAGACAAAATTTCAGTTAGATTTGAGGAGTAAATTCAAGATGATTTACTGTTCAACATAGTGTCTATAGTTAATAACCATGTATGGTAAACTTTAAAATTTCTAAAAAAGCAGACCTTATGTGTTCTCACCACATATAAATGATAAATGTAAGGCGATGTATATATTAATTAGCTCAATTTAGTTACTCCACAATGTATATATATTTCAAAACATGTCATATACCATATATATACAATTTCTATTTGCAAATTAACAAATTTTGAAAAGAAAAATATCTGATCCACAGGTTCATTAAATTAGCAAGTAATGAGTTAATATTAAATAAGGAAGAAATGTTATGGAAATTTTGCTGTCATTCTCTCCTGAAGCAGGGGGTTACTGCAGCCATCAATAAACAAGTCTCAGTGCCTGATTCAGTATTCACTTATTTGAAGTTAAGATTCTGAACTTTTTACCACAGGCACTATGAGCAAATGCCAAACATAGGGAATGTCAATTAGATGGCAGCACAAGGGAAATGATCCCTCAGTCATTTAGGGCTTCACAAAGGAAGCCCTAATGTCAATAATTTCCCAGCACTCTCGGGGGACATGAAAGGGCTCAGCACAATTCCACCACCTCTTAGGGCTCCTTCCTTAAATTCTGTAATCTGTATCACATTCATATTGCAGGTATGTGCTAAGAAACATACAGACATGAACACCTGAACAGGAGGAAGCTAAACAAAAATAACTTCCATCGTACATAGAAAAAATAACAGTTACTATATTTTTTACAGAAGTCTATTCTGTCTTCTCTCCTGCTTTAAAAATAAAATAATTGTTTTCCAATCCAATCAAATGCATTTATGGTATTTTTTAAATTAGAAATTGAATTATATTAAAAAACAGAATCCAAGGCTTTTCAATCCCCATATTAGACACAGTGCCTGCCGGCATCTGCAAATTGTGATGCTGTCTAGTTTAACACTTCAACTCAAGGGGAATATTTATTTCAGTGTAGGAGAAAACCACGTATCAGTTCTATAGAACCAGTTCAGTAGAATCAAAGAGTATACCTGCAGGTTTTCAATTTCTTCTTTGTGCTCCCTCTTCAAGTGTAAAATAGCAGCTTGGTATTCTATAAAATCAAAAAAGAAGCCAGTTATAAAGAAGTATAAAAGTAGGCACAAAATGTATCTAATGGTCCTCTTCGAAATAAACTAAAATAAATGCCACAATTTGACATTAACCTGACAAGAGATGTTAAAAATTGCTGAAAGATATGACAAATAAAGATAAAAGGTAAATTCCTTCCTTTCAGCAAATCCTGAATTATGAAAAGTCACAAATTAAGTAGATGGGATAGGGTTAAAAAAAAAAAAGGATGATGAGTATGTTCCAGATTAACACTGGGTCAGGTGTTATCTGTAAGGAGTTGGAAGTTAAGGCTCCACAGAGGACAAATACAGACGTGTTAAGAGCAGAAAGGGCAGGAAACAAAAGAAAACTTTCTCTGTGAGATCAGAGCACTCTATTTTTAACTCTGTTTCAAAAAAAGAAAAAAAAAAAATCTCCATTTGAATGCAAGGCTAAGTAAGCACCCAGGGCTGATTTTAATCTTTATCTCAGAAAGTCAATACGATCTGTCATTTGGATGAGAGATTCTTGGGTGAATTGAGGCTGAAAGGACAAAACTAAATTTCTGGTCCAATTTTAATATGAGTCTAATAATGTTTATTTCAACAATAAGTCCCAAGTGTACACAAAAACTCCAGCCAACCACTAAAACTACCATTCCACTGGCTAAGCATGAAGCTGTCAAGACAACGTTATTTCCAGCAGAAATGCTAAGTGTGTGGGGTCATGGAACTATACAGGCTGCAGAGAACCACAAGGCAAAATGCTATGAGCACACATTTTTTGTGAGATAAGCCAATTTTTTACAAATGTGTTTGGGGTCATTAGTATGAATAAGAAAGATGTAGTTTGACTTCTTTTAAATATGGGTGAAAGCCAGGCTATTTCTCCAAGTAGATTTCCTAAATAAGGCATGAAAGTTTGGATTTTCATTAAAAAATGGATGAAGGAAATCACTGGCAAAGCCATGCCAGAAGAGGAGTGTTGCTGCTGATAATTATGGTTATAGACCACTACTGTTGTCAGGAAGGTGCTCCACTGAGCTGTGAATCCATCAGAAAGTTCTGTGGGTTCTAAATCCAAACCATATCTTGAATGGTTTGGTAATGACTACTTGTCACTATCCCTACCAGCACAACGATAATCCAGGCTACCACCCTCTCTCTGCTAGACTAAAGTAGTGTACTTCTGGTAGGGTACCTGCTTCTACTCTTGGTACCACTGTAATTGATTCTCATCAAAGCTGACTGAGTTATCTATATAGATGTGAACCAGATCATCTCATCCCTGGCTTTTCATGCAATTCGAGTGAAACCAGAGCTGTCTGTTGTAGCCCATAAAAACCTCCATGTCCTGGTTCCTACATCCCTCTCCCTATCATTTCATACCACTCCTTCCCCATGTTCATCATTCTCCAGATACACTGGCTTTCTTGCCATTCCTTGAACTTGTCAAGTTCTTTTCTACCTCAGAATCTTTGCTAATATTGAAAACAATAGGAATGACTACTTACATCAGGCATTATTCTAAGTACTTTTTATTTATCAGCTCATTTTATCCCCACCACAACCTATGATGTGGGTACTGTGTGGGTACTGTTATTATCTCTATTAGTGATGAAGACAGTAACAGAGATATTAAATAGCTTGATCAAGGAAGTAGAATAATTTTCAGAGCCAGAAAACCTGCTTAATTTAATGGGGGAGTGCATAAACAAATGATGGTATGTCCATATAATGAAATACTATTCAACAATAAAGAGGAATATATGCATCATTGTGAAGGAATCTTTTTTTTTGAGATGAGTTTCATTCATGTCGGCTAGGCTGAAGTGCAATGGCACAATCTCGGCTCACTGCAACCTCCACCTCCCAGGTTCAAGCAATTCTCTTGTGTTAGCCTCCCAGGTAGCTTTTTTTACTGGTGCCCGCCACCAGGCCTGGCTAATTTTTGTATTTTTAGTAGAGACAGGGTTTCACCATGTTGGTCAGGCTGGTTTCGAACTCCTGACCTCAGGTGATCCACCCCCTTCAGCCTCTCAAAGTGCCTGGCCAATGTGAAGGAATCTTAAAGGCATTATGCAGAGTGAAAGAAGTCAGTCTCAGAAAGCCAACCACTGTACATTTATATGACATCTGGAAAAGACAAATCTAGAGAGATGAAGAACAGATGAGAGTAGTAGTTGCTAGAGGTTAGAGATTGGCATTCAGGGAGGGGGTTGACTACAAAGGGGCAGCAAGCAAAGGAATTTTAGGGATAATGATGTTAGATATTATTCTCTATCCTGATTACGGAGGTTGTTACATGAATCCATATATGTTGAGTGTTAAAATTCAAGAGACAGTACACGAAAAAAGTGTGTTAATTTGTTTTAAATCTGACATCAAATATTATACTGGTAAATGTTTTCTCTATGAGATTCAGCATTACACAAGGGTATCTGCTACCATCGTTTATATTTATCATTTTTCTCGAGCTACTAGCAGATGTAATAGGATAAGAAAAAAGACTAACAAGATAGAGAGTCTAGAGAGATACCATTAATTTATGGTCACTTTATTTATGACAGAAGTAGTACTGAAGATCATTACTTAAAGAATGATATTTTCAAAAACTATTGGCTGGGGAAAAAATAATATTCTGTCTATTTCTTATGGAAAAAGAAAAAACTGGATCCTAACTTTATACTATACAATAATCTATATGAAGTCATGTAAGTGCTAAACTATAAAAAGCAAAATTATAAATATTTTATTAGATAATATAGCATAATATTTTATAATAGCAGGATAGAAAAAGGATTTCTTAATATTTACAAAGCAATATATATAAAGAAAAAAACTTGATAAATTTGACATTAAAATTAATAACTTCTTTTTCTTAAAATATACCATAGAGAAACAGATTGACAATAGATCAATCTGTTATCAATAGAGATAATATTCCCCACAGAGGGGAGAATATACTTGCAACATAATCCACAAAGATCTAGTATAAATATATAAATAAATCCTATAAAATTATAGAAAATTAAGCTCATGTGAAAACCGGGCAAAAAACATCAACAGGCACTCTAAAAAGATAATATACAAATAATAACTATGTTAAAAGGTGCTCCTTCTTATTAATCAGGAATACTTAAGGTCTGAAAACAGAGCACTGGTGAAGATGTGGAACAATGGAAACTTTCATACACTTACAATAGGAACAATCACTATGAATAATTATATTTTCTAATAAAGTTGAAGATATTCATGCTTCCTTAACCAAAAATCCTAACCTTAGGCATGTATCAATGACAAAACTATGAAGAAAAACAACCTTTCTGCCAGTCGACGGCACAAAAGGAAGCACTGTCTGTCTTCCCACTGCCATCATGTCTCAGCCAGAGTCCTTCAAAGAGCCCTAACAGCCGTGGAAGCTCCTCATCAGAGGGCTGAGCTTTGAAACCACCGATAAGAGGCTGAGGAGACAGTCTGTGCAATGGGGAATGCTGAAGAACTGTGTAGTAATGAGAGATCCAAACACCAAGGGCTCCAGGGGCTTTGGGTTGTCACCTATGCCACTGTGGAGAAGGTAGATGCAGCCTTGAATGCAAGGTCACACAAGGTGGATGGAAGAGTAGTGGAACCAGAGAGCTGTCTCAAGATTCTCAAAGACCAGGTGCCCACTCAGCTGTGAAAAAGATATTTGATGGTAGCATAAAGAAGACACTAAAGAACATCACCTAAGATTTTTTTTTATTGCATTTTAAGTTTTGGGGTACATGTGAAGAACATGCAAGATTGTTGCATAGGTACACACATGGCAGTGTGATTTGCTGCCTTCCTCCCCTTCACCTATATCTGGCATTTTGATTTTGAACAGTATAGAAAAATTGAAGTGATTGAAATCATGACTGATCAAGGCAGTGACAAGAAAAGGGACTCTGCCTCTGTAGCCTTTGACAACCATGACTCTGTGGATAAGACCGTCATTCACAAACACCATACTGTAAATGACCACAACTGTGAAGGTAGGAAAGCCCTGTCAAAGCAAGGAATAGCTAGTGCTTCATCTAGCCAAAAGAGGTCAAGGCGGTTCTGGAAACTTTCATGGTAGCCATAAAGGTGGTATTGGTGGGAATGACACCTTTGGTTGTGGAGGAAACTTCAGCAGTCATAGTGACTTTAGTGGCAGCTGTGGTGGTGGAGGATATGGTAGCAGTGGGGATGGCTATAATGAATTTGGTAATGATGGAAGCAATTTTGGAGGTGGTGGAAGCTACAATGATTTTGGCAATTAAAACTATCAGTCTTCAAATTTTTGATCCATGAAGGGAAAAAATTTTGGAGGCAAAAGCTCTGGCTTCTATGATGGCCGCTATGATATTGGAAGCCAATAGCTTGCCAAACCACAAAACCAAGGAGGCTGTAGGGGTAGCACTAGCTATGGCACTGGCCATAGAAGATTTTAATTATGGCCAGGAAACAAAGCTTAGCAGGAGAGTAGAGCCAGAGAAGTGACAGGGAAGCTATAGGTTCCAACAGATTTGAGCACTTAGTGAAGCACAGTGGTGGCAGGGCCTAGCTGCTACAAAGAAAAAAAAGCTTTATACAGTACTCCCGTGTATGGGCAAAAGACTTAAGGACTGTATTTGTGATTAAGCTGTTTAACAGGCTATTTCAATTTCTGTAGTATAAGGCAGTCCAACAAAGGGTTTCAAGTTAGTGGGGGTTTCTTGCACCCATGCTATAAATTGCAAAGTATAACAGTCTGATCATGAAGCTGAATAAATGTGTCTTTTATTTAAAAAAAGAAAGAAAAGCAAGTAATAATATTAAAGAAAGTCAGAAAAATGGTGGTTTCCAGGAGAAGACAAACTGAGTTGGGTTGTGATTGGGCAAGGAGGTATTACATAGGTATTAAATGAAAAATTATTCTTTAAATTGGAAATGTTTTATGAAATTTTCTTTATGCATATCTAACAGTAAAATAAAAAAAGCTTCTCTTTTGAAAATT